ATTTAAATAAGGAATTCCATGTCAGAACCACACTTTCTTATATCCTGAAGAGTATATTATAGCAATCAACCTTTATTCAAATAAATCACTTATTTTACTCTTCAACTAAGAATTTTAAGAACTGTGGCAGATGAGGAAGGAGGTCTTGGGAAGTGAATTTTGATAAGATAGGAATTAACTTGATTATTTTCATGCTGTGGACCAATAATAGTTAGGGGCCTCCACTGGGCCCCTGGCCTGAAGGCAGCTGGGTAATCAATAGATCCCACAGAGGGGGCTCTCCACCCCCAGCAGTCTCTCTGATCTTTTCTGGGTGGACTCTTCACGCCTGTGTAATTCTAATTTATGTCAACTACAAATCAAAGAAATTCCAGGCGGCTTTGGTCATAGGACACTGGCAAGGACCCTTCCCAATCTATTTACGTCTGGTCCCTGAGCAGCAGGTCCACAGCCTTCCAGACACCTTTCCTGGCCAAGCCGAAGGTGGCAAGAAGGCAGCTACCTGCTTGGTGGGTTAAGGAGAGGAAACAGGGCAGAGTGGCCTAAGGTATAAACTGGGGTGTATTTTCTCCTAGTTTATAACTCTGCAGGAACATAAGAACTAAGCATTTTAAGCAAAAGCATTGCCAAGACTGGCTCCCTCAATAACGCTCTTTAATGATACCCCAGACGCTGGCATTTTCAAATCAAATGAACAGTGTGTAAAATTAGTTCTGCATGAAGTTAAAAAAAAAAAAAAAGAGAGAAAGAAAAAAAGAAAGTGAAAGGGAGCTTTTAAAAGCTCCAGCATTTCTCCATCCAACTGCTTTTCACAAGGGTTTGGCATTTGAGAATTGCTACGTTTATGATGTTATTCAATGCTCATAATTCAGGCCTGTGTCTCCAAACTTTGGTATTAACACACAGTACAGAGGTTTCTCAAAGCAGCCCGGCTGCCTCTGGCGAGGCCTCCTTTTCCAGCCAATGCCATTCCGTGTGCTCCCTCTCTTCTCATCAGCCTTGTTACCCCAAACCTTTTCTTTATTAACCTTGAACATTGCATTTCCATTTGCCCTACGGCTCTCCCATGCATTTTTTCCCTCTCAGTTTTGTTCTCTATCCAAATTGCCTTGTAAGAAATGAGGGAAATATCATAAGAAACAGACCTATAGAGTCTAGAAGTCACAGAAGTCGTGGAAACAATTTCGATGACCAAAGTCACTACTGTTTATAGCTGTAGAAGCTGGAACAAACGTAATGCTTTTTATTACAGTCCTATTGATGACCTAAGTATTTTTTAACTAAATCACTAAATAAACGTGAGTCAAACTGATAGGTGATTTCGGGTCAACTCTAATTCCCAAGGTCAAGTAAGCCTTTGAACAGTCTCTAAGAATATAAACTCACCCCAATTCATCAAAGCAGTCTCACACAGCGTTCTCTTCTCTTGGTTTTTACAATGCATTAAAGTTTAGGAGATTATGTGGCGTCAGCTTCAAAACCTTTTAACATGCTTATCCATCCAGCCATCGGAAAAGCTGCTCAAACAGAGACTTCTTAATGCACTTCCTAACTTTACAACTGCGTGGGGGTGGGGGCCCACAGTTGTTTGGAAGGCTAGAGGATTTCTGCCCAGGACTCAGCAATGTTGCGGCCAAACAAATTTTCTGCAAATTTACTTAGACATTGATAATTAAAGTACATGCTTTTCTTTAGCTGCAAAGAATATGTTTAATATTAGTTTCTCATCTGGTGGTAGGAGGGAGGACACAGACACAAAGAGATATTGAGATTTTTTTCCTACAACAAATAAAAGCCACTTTGTTATTATCCTTGTAACCCTCAGGAGCTGACGTGAGGGGGAAAAGTGCCAGTTTGGCAAAATATAGACTTTGAGTTAGACATAGGTAGCCCCGGATGAAACTTACATGTGGCAGAACATGCAGCCGCCATTTACCGCTGCTTCCTTTACCTGAGACCATGTAGCCCCGGAGCACCTGAAACTGAGGGTCTCCACCTCTGTTTCTGCCTCCTCAGTTTTTGGATTAAAGGAATTCACTCCATGCCCAACCGACTTCATAATTTCTAAGGACCAGAGAACCCAGAACATCACTAGAGAGACATACAAACTCCCAAACAGTCTCTCGCTGGCTCGGGATCCTTCTGGCCTCGTTCCTGACTGGTGGCTAACTGTGCAGCCGGTAAAGTCTCCTGGCCTTTGGCTGGCTTCGGACACGGGCTGAAGGAGGTGGGCATCTCTAGCTGATGATCCCGGTTGTCGGCTGGCGGGCCTGGCTGGGCTACTGGTCACTCGGGTTGTTGCCTGCTTTGCTGGCATGGTGACTGGTGTGGGATGTGCAGCAGCAATTCTCCATGCCTCGGTCCTGTGGTCCTATGACTTATCTCCTAATTGCCTTTATTTCTTCTTGTTAGTGTCTCTTTCCCTCCCCATGTCAGAGTCTTAAATTTATACTTTCCTCATCTCCGTACCTGAGCAGACCAGTTGTTAACTTTATCCAAATCCACTGTGTTCCATGGAGACATTTGCTTTTATTAGTAAAGTGTGCAAACGTGTGATTATTGATATCTTTCTATGGAACATTTAAGTTTGAATGACAAAAATAAAACCCACAAAAAACAAAAATCCAACCTACAAAAGTATCTTCTATAGCCTGAATCTTCTTTTTTCCTCTTTCAATTTGTTTCCCAAATGTGTGTGTGTGTATGTGTGTGTGTCTGTGTGTAAGTGTGTGTGTTGCATTTGGAAATTCACATCCCACAGTATAGTACACATTACACTGAAAAAAATAACAATTCTGGGTATTTTATATATGATTGACATTATCCTAAGCACTTTATATACATTAATTCATTTAAATACTCACAATTCTACAAGATAGTTACTATGAAAATCCTCATTTCACAAATGTGGCAGGAAGCTTTGCTCAGAATTATGCAACTATTAAGTGTGTAAGCCCAGATTTGAACCCAAACTCTGGCCCAGAGGACATGCTCCTTATTTCAAGCTTCTTTTCTTCTCTATGCAAATCTTTCTTCAGGTCTGGATTAGAATTTAAAGATGGATGGCATAAAACAAAAATCTGGGGGAAAAAATCTGAAATCTGAACAGCTATTTTAGTTTGGATTTTCTATCCAACTTTCTGTTCAAGGCTTTGCTTGCACTTTGTGTGTGGCTTGGAAATGTCTTCTGTTCTCATGGAACCCCACCCCCCATGTTTGGCTCTGAGCTGAATTGAGTCTTGGGAAGCCAGACAGCAAGGCTGAGCTCCTTGGGCTGAGCTGAACTGCAGCAGGCTATGGCCAGACGGCACTGTGGCAGAGGCAAGAAACTCTCAGAGCTGATCTCTGGCTTGAGAAAGGATTCAGAAACTGAATATGGAACAGGCTAGGCCAAAACCCCTAGAGGGACCACTCATTAGAACAGCTCTCTATCTTGTTTTACAGTTATCTTTGCTTTTTATAAAGTCCAGAATCTTTTAACTTGAAATCAGCAAAATGCTGGTCAGCAACTGTGTGTGGAATAGTCTTCTAAACTTACAGACAAGAACACAAATGGTTGTAATTTGTATCAGAAGGTGATGCTGATCTCCAACCTAAAAAGTATAAAAGAGGGTGTGCGAGGGATAGTGATTCCAAATACGGTCCCTTTGGAGCCCTTGGCAGAGACAGCACATATGCAGCCTGGCTTTCTGGTGGGCACCAAGGAGCTTGCCTGCTACTGCTTGGCGTTTCTAGAGTCCTCTGCCTATTACAGACCCTGTAACTTACAGTGACAAGGTTAGCAAGAGTGCTCTCTTGGCCAGCCATGAGTGCTGAGGGGGACATGCTCCCCTGGGTCTCAGTGCTGTTGCTAAGATACAAAGCAAGTAGCTTTTTGTGCTGGGCTGAGAAGATACAATGCAGTCTCTAGAATGTAACTAGCAAAGGTCTAGAACAGTTGAGATTTTAAAATGCTGTAAACAACAATTAGATCTATTGTCAAAAAAATGACAAAGCACACAAAGAATTTGGGTCACTGTTATTTTTGCCGCAGATATGCCTACATTTAGGAAATGTATGCCCTTTGAGCAACATGTTTGTCTTGTATCAATTCTTGTGATAGATTTGTCCCTAATCATCTTTGCAGAAGTAGCACAGCCTTGTCTGCTGGAATAAGAAGGCAGCACTTAGAGATCATCTCCGGGTACACCTTTTCAAAGCAAGAAGCCTCCTGGCTAAAGGCTGCCTCTGGCATTGTGCAAAAATGTTGGAATCAGACTTCAAAGACTTTGGGGGAGTAGCCTTCTGCAGGCGTCTGAAATTTCTCAGCTTCCATTTTCTCACTCTTGCAATGCAAATGAAGAACTAATTCTCTGATTTGTTATAGGGAAACTGCAGAAGTGGCAAAGGAAAAAAACATCTACCCAGGGCTCAGTGGTCTGTACAGATGTTCTCCATTTTCCTTCTCGGTCCTCAAATGTTCCACACTGAGTGCAGTACCATTCCCAAATTCATGCTCAATTCCTGCCAGCTGCTCTACGGAACTTTTGCTGGGCCTCTGGGACTGTTTCACATGTAATAGGAGAGACAGTCTGATGTGCAGGGAGACACAAACTGGTTCCTCTTGCCTCCAATGGCCAGAACAGATAAGTGTGGAGAAATGAAATGAACATTTGTGAAAAGCCAAACGGACAGTTTACTGTTGCAGGAATTTTAAAATATAGCATTCTCTTGTTAGACCCCACAAATAGCTACTGGGATACAGCCTTTTAAACTCTGCTCCGCACACTTAGGAACAGGAAGATAAATTCTACCATGATACCTTGTGATTGCCTTTTCATTCTTTTTTAAGTACAAACATCTATTGTTAATCAGAAATACAAAAATAGCTCCAGATTACTTTAGCAAACCAGGGCAAAAACTGCATGGCTGACCGTGTGCACGGGTATGCAGGAAGAGAATGTGGTATTAAGCATTTTGCCATAGCAACTAAATGCAGGAAACAAACAAGTCCATCTTACTTTATCACATCTCATCAGGCCCAAGTATCTCAGGGATTTGCTGCTCTGTGCGATCAGGGTGGCTCCTTGATCAGTGATTTCTTTACACCATCCAACATCCACGGTCTCTATTGTCACGCTGTATCGCCCAATGGCTATCAGTGCTGCCAGGAGGGACAGAGAGAAAGCTGGCATTAGCAGTGTAAGGGACCTCTAGCTGATTATGACTACTGAGCTCATGTCTTCACGACACTTGTTCCTGAAATGTTGTGTTTAAGTGAATGTTTTATAAACTAAATTAAATTTGAGATGCTTTCAGAAAGCTTGCACTATGACAAACCCTTTTGCGCAGTGAATAATCATTCTGTAATTTCCCTTTCATTGGACATAATCTTTTATCAATTTACTGGCTTCAAGGTTACCTATACTTTCAGGCATTCATATGTGCAGGAGGAACACATACAAGTGAATTATAGATGGAGCACTGTAAAAGCCCGAGTGCTATCTAAACTTTATTCAAGGTAATTCTTAAAAGAAAAAAAAAAAGCCACATACACCATTTTGAAGTATGTTATATTGCATGCAAATTTCTGTATAAGTAAGTGTAATTTTTCCATCTGGTTCATGCCCTGTAAAATGTAAGAGCATATAATAATTTTCACATCAGTTCTTCTTGGGGGCTGTTGGGAATTAAGAGTACATTATACATATAGTTGAATTTAATCGGTGCCGCACCAGAGTGGAGTAAAGGGGATGTATTTGTTATAGTGAATTTCCTTGCCATAGCAGAAACCTTCCTTACTAATATAGAAAAAGAGCCTGCCGTCTGTAAACCACGACATTATCTCTGGTGTCCTTGATTCTTTGTCGCCATGCCACCGCTAAAATGTAGATGCTTATGTCATAGTCTCAGGTATACTTTAGTTACCCCTGTAAAGCCCCAAAGCCTATCACCCTGCCGGAGCCACTCATTGGCAAACAGGGCTGTTCTCTAAGGACTTCCAGTGGTGTGCTGGGTGAGCACGGCTCTAGCATTTATGAAGCACAGGAAATAGATTTTAATACCTGCAGTCGGAATAATGTCATGATGCACTGATCTGTGAATGAAAACCTTGACAGCAATGCCACAGACATTAGAAAGAACAGAGCAATTGTTTGCTAGTTATTTCCCTATTCTGATGACATGGTTTGATTTCTGGAACCTTGAAATTTGCATGCAATATAACATACTTCAAAATGGTGTATGTGGCTTTTTTTTTTTCTTTTTGTGCAGACTACATTTAGAAAGGCAGAATAAATCTCTCATGTAAATAAATACAACTCAGGAAGTATCACTTGGCAAAAACCTCTGATAACCACCTCAGCGATTTTTAAAAAACTATTATCCCATACCTATGGTTTCTCTTAACCAAGTATTCACAGGAAGCCAGATATTCGATGTTTGCAAAACAACAATCACGATCCCTGTATTTTCAATTAAGAATGCCACAGAGAACTTCCTCAAGTTCCTCTTACCACCAGTACCATTAACACAGTCAAGCTGACTGCAAACATGTGGCAGTAGGAGAGGTAGAAACAAGACCCCAGGGTAATCCCACTGGTGTCGTTCTGGCGTTCTCTCTGTTGGCATCGGTCGAGCTCAGGGCTGGCAGAGTGGAGGTGAGGGTGTGGCAGAGTGGGAAAGAACAGTGAGCAGTTACACAACTGTTCATTCTCCATCTTATTTTATTCCTGCTCTCTTCTCGTTTCGCAGGTCTCAATGCAAAGGTCAAGTGCTCCGAGTTTATCACCCAGCCACTTATATTACCTGGGCACAGAGAGCATTTACTTCTTGAAGGGCACACCTCTCATGTTAGGGTAATGGCTGCTATGCACTGCAGAATGCCTAGTACCTGGCACATGCCTGGTATGGAGGAGTTTCTTACACATGCTATAAACATGCAAGAGACCACTGGCCCCACCCAGCTCTGTGGGAGGGTGACAAAGAGGCCTTCACAGAAGAACTAAGCCAAGTCTTGAACTTTCTGGAGCCAAGAGCTCTCTGGAGAAATGGGCTCACCGGCAGGTTTGTTGGAGGAGGAACAGCATATGAAAAGGTGGAGATGAAAAGGGGCAGCGTGCACAGGACAGTCCATGTGGCTGAGCTGTACATAAACCCAAAGGCGTGCCATGAGTTACTGCAGAAACATTCCATGAAGAATGACTGATGCTGAGGCCGACACAGCATACAGAGCAGAGACCTTGGCACCATGAAACTACAGTCTCGAAGACACACTTAAAACAAAAAACAATGCAAGTAAACCTAAACTGTGACACGTATTCTACAAGAATTAGATTGACACCTATAGGAAATAATGATGCCTACACATGCATGTGTGGTTGGGGTCCGAGCTGGCCCGAAGATATTCCTAATGAAATTTTCTTTAGTACCCCAGTAGCCTTGCAGAACAATAAGTATTTTAGGGGAAAAAGAACTCATGTTAAGTAGTTCACAAGGAAGGGCTGGCTCTAACATAGAGGTACAACCTCAGCGCGGGCTGTGATCACCTTCCTGTGGGCAGGATGGAGACTGTGCCTGCTCTCTTCACCACTATTAAAGACCTAAATATTACAGCTTATGGATGGCCAAGTATTTAGTCTGTGTTAATACCATTGGCTTAATGGAAAAATCTGATTTATATATATCTTTTGAAATATATAGTGCCTCTGGCAACTTCATTGTTCTTCATGAGCTGGCTGTGAAAACTATAATATAACTTCAGGTTCAGCTCTAGCCACGCTATTTAGTAGATGCCTGACCTCAGGGTGATACTTAACTTACATGAGACACAGCTTCTTCATCTAGATAATAGGGATATTGACTGCACGTCTCACCTCCTTCACAGGTTCAAATGAGATAATGCATGTAAGCGACTTTTTGTTACATAAATGTCATAGTTGGTTTGGTGTTTCTGCAAACCATTCTAGTGAGCAGTTGAGACAAAATAAAAAGGCCTGGCCAGAGGCTGGTGGTGCAGGTCTGAAATACAAGCTACTTGAGAGGCTAAGACAGGAGGGTCATAAGCTCAAAGTAGCCTGGCTACAGGGGTGGTTCAAGGCTACCCTGGACAACTTCAGGAGAGTTTATATCAAAACTGAAAAGGTTGAGGACGTGGCTCAGTGGTAATGTACCTGCCTGGTGTGGATGCGCCTCTATCTCAGTTTCACAATACAAAACAACTTCAAGAGGTTAGACAAAGGAAAGGCCCTGGGAGAACGAGAGCACCCTGTGTTCAGGCGCTCAGGCGCTGCGTCACTGCTGCAGGCCTTGACCTGCCCACTCTCAACTGGAGATCACGATCTGTAAACTGCACCTGTGCTCAGAGCCTTTTAATGTAAATATGTGGTTGCTGCCTACATCAGAGGCGGCTGACATACTGAGCATGGGAAAACAGGAAATACTAACTCCCAATTCCAAGGCAATTTCAATACACTTTTTTATGTGCTAAATGCAACTAAAGAAAGTTATATCCTAAAAGACAAAACAAAACAAAAACCCATACACATTAATAAGAGTCATTCAGTAATTTTATGCTGATCAAGACTAAACATGAACCTACTGATAGCCACTACCAGAGGCGTATAGACAGCAGAAAGAATGACTGCAAGACAGATGCACTTTTGACCAAAAAATTCGACTTCTAGTGTTCTACTCTGAAAATACAGTTCTAATATTATAAAACTATGGATGAGTTTATTTACTGAAGCATTGAAAAACAGGAAGCAGCCTAAATGCTCATATGTAGGAAAGTGAGGGAATAAACTGTGCTGTTCCCACAGTAAGTAATAATGAAGGAGGGAAAAAAGTAAACAGGGAGCTAATGCTTACTGGTTTCCTGACATTTAAGTGAAAAAAGAAGTATACAACAATGTGTATGTGTGCTACCATCTTTCATATACTAGAAAAGGAAATCACACACATGAATCTGCTTATCTGTGCAAATGCGATAAGGGCTGGTAGGAAATTTGGGATGCAGGGCAGGGCTCTGAGGCAGAAAGGCCACTGCTTAGAATATCTCTTTTTGTAGCACTGATTTTTTGAACTATCATGGTGCTTTACATCACTTCCAAAATTAAAATAATATGGAAAACTCAAAGAGGACTATAATCACAAGTGAATCTGATTCTACTGCAAATGAACAGCAAAACCCAAGTGAATTACACCGCTACGATAAATGGGATGAGAGTTAAATACTTTGCTTTGGAAATGGCATTTTGACTGGATATTAAGACTAAGAGCTAACAATTCAGTAACTACTTTTTGTGTGATCTTGGATTGTAAATTATGACAGGCAGTCTTTTCACTGTTAAAGAAAGGAGTTACAAATAAGGCCAGTTGGGAGACTTCTCCAAGGAACCTCCTTGTATTGAACTGGAATCTAACTTAGCAGAATGAATACACGTTTCTAGAATAGATAATGAACATGGTGGAAGAGTATGCCTGGTTTAGCAAACATGCACTTATCCTTGGCACTTCCTGCTGAGAGGGATTAGGAGCAATTACGATCACAGTGTCTAAATATCATCTATCAATAAAAGGGACCAGAGCTTCCTAGAGAAGTGATTTCTTGTAGAAAGGGATTAGAGAAAAGCAAGGGTAGAACATCCTATATTGTCATTAAAAAAAAAAGAAGTTTCAAAAAGAATAAAAGTACATCAAAAAGAATAAAGGCTATAATGAGGAAGAGTGACAATGGCTGATGCTGGAACAAGTTGGCCACAGAAATAAACACAAGAGTATTGACTACCGACCCATACAAAATATACCCATAAATCCACACAGATACAGACAAATAAATAAACAGGCATGGACAAACAGCCCATCCCTACAGAAGAATTGAATTTAAATATTACAGATTGAATGAGAGAAATAAAGAAGCACTATTAGGCAAAGAATATAGCAACAACCATAGGCAGAACACACCAAGAGATACACAGTTAGTTACCCTGAAAAGGGAACAAAACACTGGAGCAGTGACAAAGGCATCCTCATTTACAAAGGAAAAAACTCGCTTTGCGGTAGGCAGATCCAGAAGACACGGCCTTGACCGATGATCAAAGTTAACTATAAACAACACACACAGAGTTGTGTGCCCTGATCATAACTGTAATTCTAGCTCCAGGG